TGTGTGTGTGTGTGAGCACAATGTGTAAGGTATAATCTAGGCCCTGCCCTGCGCTCATGACAGGAGGGAAATGTAGCTAAACATACACTGTCCCGCTGGCTTATTTTAAATAGCTTTAATGTGGTTTAGTTTTAAAATATCTACGCATCTTAATGAACAGTGTCTTTTTTTAAACCTAAATGCTTTCCTAGATTTACTTCCTTTAGCTAAAGGCTACTATTTTAGCCGAGCTCAAGGTCTCTGCAGTGTTTTATAAGGACTTCTGTACCTTTTTATCTTTTCTCTGCAGTTTTTCTTAATCAGGTCTGTAGATAAAATGTTTTACGGGAATCCCAACATTGTTTTATTTTACATTGTACTTTAGGAATGCATAAAATTTAACACTTTGCATTGAAATATTTACTCTCATATCAACTTATAATATAAAATATGACAACTTAACATAATATATAATATAATAACTTTATGGTTGTTAGGTGATTGCTGAAAAATTGTGATTGTTGCTCCTTTTTCCACTGATATTCTAGATTTTAGAGCATAAACCTCATGTTGTTTTAGGTGTATCTAGTTCTATAGATGAGGTCAGTAAATGTATGGAAATCTGCTGAGCAGTCGTGGCCCCCAGCAGATGTTCTGACGTGTAATTATAGTAAATTAGAGAGTTCCTAAAGCAGCTTTCCAGTTAAAGAAAGCCCCCACCCTGCTGGTTTGACCAGCACGGTCCGACATGGAGCAGGAGGTAACGACCTGCTTGTAATGTATATGTAATTTGTGCAAAGGGTGAAACCTTGGGTGTGCTCTAGACATGGGCAAATTGTCAATATTAGGAATTACAGGGGTTTAAAAACTGCACACGCTTCTTGCAATACCAGTTCTTGTGTTCAGTGAGATGCCAGAGAGTTTTTCAGATTTAGTTTTTTTGGTTTTCACAACAGTTATATTCAGCTATTTGGAAAAACTGCTGGTTACCAAGAACACAAACGTTGCATGAAAACCAGTCGGTATCAGGGTGTCGTGTTTTTAGTCTACTATAAGCAGCAGAATCAGCTTGAATAGTCAGGTTTGAGGGCATATTTGACTTCAGTTAGGCTTTGCTCTCAAACTAAGGGGCATTTGACATATAAAAAATATGTATAACCATAAATGTGTAAACATAGATCATCCATCTTCTAACATGCTCAATCCGAAGTGGGGTCACGGGGGGTGCTGGTGCCTATCTCCAGCTGTCAGTGGGTGAGAGGCGGGGTCCACCCTGGACAGGTCACCAGTTAACATAGATCAGGGTGGGGCAATTCATTGCATTTGCAATATAATCCCAGTTTAACAAAGTACAATTGTCAAATTGCAGAGGCAGCCAGCTAGCACAGTGAAAGTGCTAGCTGGCTGCATGAAAGTAAAACTGGGCACATTTCCACACAACAATAACACTAAAGTCCTGCAGCAATGAGATCTGGACAAGCAGGCTTTTAAAGACTCGAAAACATTAAAACCCCGGAGTGAAAAATCTACGTTTTAGTTGGTTAAACTATTGGCAAAATTATTCAGCCCTTTTATTGATTTACTATTTACCCAATATGTCAGATAGATAGATAGATAGATAGATAGATAGATAGATAGATAGATAGATAGATAGATAGATAGATAATTTAAATTGTGTTGTTACTAATCTGTTCAGTAGATCTATAGATAGATAGATGGATAGCTCTGAGATCGAGGAAGCTATGTGAAAGGAGATGATATTTTAGAAAATGTTGAGAGGTTTCCTCAGTTCATTCAACTTGGAAGAGGGAGAGAGAACAGGACTTTCAGTGACCAACAGGAAGGCCTAATAGTTTGCAAATACTTTCAGAGATAAAAGTCGCTATGATCTGATCTGATTCTCCCTAGTGCTGACCAATGAAATCTTCTTATTTAAACACCGTTTAAAAAGTGCTGATATAGATACGTTTATTGCTAGTTGAGGAATCTCCATCATTTATCCAGAGTCTTACAGGAATTCTGTGGCGAAACCTGACCTGATGTACACGGTTCTGTCAGGAGATATGGGCGAGGAAACTTTAGAAAGAAGGTTGTGGAATTGGAAAGTAGGAAATTTTGATCAAAATTAGGGAT